TGAAGAAGTGAAAACTCACCCATTTTGCATTGCAACCCTAGATATCTTCATAAATAGGGTTTATTAGATATGCAGCCTCTAAATGTCTTTGAAAGACCTGTCCTTCAATGTAGGGTTTTAATCTTTGTCCATTAACCTTAAAAATGTTCCCCTTTTTCAAACTTTGAATTTCAATTGCCTCATGAGGGGCAATAGAGATGACTTCATAAGGACCTTCCTATTTGGTTCTCAACTTCTCGGGAAAGAGTTTCAACCTAGAGTTAAAGAGCCAAACTTTTTGACCGGGTTCAAAAGATTTCTTTACAATGTGTTTATCATGAAAAGCTTTGGTTCTTTCTTTGTAGAGTTTGGCATTATCATAAGCATTATGTCTCAACTCTTCCAACTCACTCAATTGCAATAACCGGTTCTCTCCGGCCTTGTCAAGGACAAGATTGAGCTTTTTAACCGCCCACAAGGTTTTATGTTCCAACTCAACTGGAAGATGGCAAGGCTTTCCATATACAAATCTATAAAGAGGCATACCAATGGGAGTCTTATATGCCGTCCGGTAAGCCCACAAGGCATCATTTAACTTTCGTGACCAATCTTTCCAAGTGGTGTTGACCGTTTTCTCAAGAATATGCTTGATTTCCCAGTTAGACATTTCAACTTGCCCACTTGTTTGAGGGTGGTAAGGAATGGCCACTTTATGAGTAACGGAGTACTTAAGAAATAAATGCCTTAAGAATTGGTTACAAAAATGCTTTCCTCCGTCACTTATCATAGCTCTCGGCATACCAAAACGAGCAAAGATATTGGATTTAATGAATTGAATAACCACCAAATGGTCATTTGTTTTGGTAGCACAAGCTTCCACCCACTTGGAAACATAATCAACGGTAAGGAGAATGAATTGAAAACCATAGGACATAGGAAATGGACCCATAAAATCAATGCCCCAAATGTCAAAGATTTCTACATCGAGGATATTGGTCAAGGACATCATATCTCTTCTTGAGATTTATCCCATCTTTTGACATCTCTCACATGACTTGCAAAAGTTATAAGCATCTCTATGGATAGTGGGCCAAAAGAGCCCACTTTGAAGAACCTTCAAAGCGGTCTTCTTTGCACTAAAATGCCTACCATATGCAAGTGTATGACAAAACACTAGAACACTTGGAATTTCGCTCTCCGGAATGCATCTTCTCACTATTTACTCCAGACAATAACGGTATAAGACAGGGTCATCCCAATAATAATTCTGGATGTTGGCAAAGAAACGATTCTTCTCATTCTTTGACCAAAAAGTTGGAAGCTTGCCAATTGCCAAATAATTCACAATGTCAGCAAACCAAGGCATTTGCCCATTTGTAATTTGAAAAAGTTGTTCATCTGGAAAAGAATCATAAATTGGTGGGCTAGGGGAAGGCTCTAGCAATAACCTTGAAAGGTGATCGACAACCACATTTTCGGTGCCTTTCTTGTCCTTGATTTCAAAATAAATTCCTGAAGAAGCAAAATCCATCTAATCAATCTCGATTTTGTTTCTTTCTTTGTCAAAAGATGTCTCAAAGTAGCATGATCAGAATAGACAACAACCTTAGACCCTAAAAGATAGGACCAAAATTTATTAAGGGCATATACTATGGTAAGTGACTCTTTCTCGGTAGTGGAGTAGTTCAATTGAGCTCCCAAGAAAGTTTTGCTTGTATAGTATATGGCACATGGAAGCTTCCCTACTCTTTGCCCCAAAACTGCTCCCATGGCATAATCTGAAGCATCCCACATAATTTCAAATGGTAATGACCAATTGGGAGGTTACATGATAGGGGCGGATGATAATAAAGCACGCAATTTATGGAAGGCGTTTAGGCATGCTTGATCAAAGACAAAAAGAGTTTCCTTGGCAAGAAGATTGCACAAGGGTCGAGCAATTTTGCTAAAGTCTTTGATGAAACGGCGATAGAAGCCGGCATGACCTAGAAAGGAGCGAACTTCTCTCACCGTTGAAGGTGGAGGCAATTCAGAAATAAGCTCAACTTTTGCCTTATCTACCTCAATTCCCCTCCTTGAGATGACATAACCCTAAACAATACCTTCTTGAACCATGAAATGGCTCTTTTCCCAACTAAGTACAAGGTTTGTTTCACGACATCTTTTAAGCACTAAATCCAAATTTTTGAGGCATGCATCAACTGAGGACCCAAAGACAGAAAAATCATCCATGAAAACTTCAAGATATTCTTCCACCATGTCTGAGAAAATTGACATCATACACCTTTGGAATGTTGCGGGAGCATTGCACAAACCAAAATGCATCCATTTATAAGAAAATGTGCCGAATGGACAAGTAAAAGTGGTTTTTTCTTGGTCCAAGGGGTCAAGGGCTACTTGATTATAACCCGAATAGCCATCAAGAAAGCAATAATATCATTGCCTGACCAATCTCTCTAGAATTTGATCAATGAATGGCAAAGGGAAGTGATCTTTTCTAATGGCGGCATTTAATTTGCGGTAATCAATGCATACACGCCATGAATTGGCGGTACGCTTAGAGATTTCCTCTCCTTTTGCATTTTCTACAATGGTAATCCCCGACTTCTTGGGTACCACTTGAGTTAGACTTACCCATTTGCTATCTGAGATTGGGTAAATAATTTCGGCATCTAAAAGTTTAACCATTTATTTCTTGACTACCTCCTTCATGTTTGGATTAAGTCTCCTTTGACCATCCCTAAAATGCTTTCCATCCTCTTCCATAAGTATGCGATGCATGTAAATAAAAGGATCAATTCCCTTAAGATCTGCTACACTCCATCCTATGGCTTCTTTGTTTTCTTTAAGCACATTTAAAAGGGCATCTTCTTGGTTTTTTTTAAGATTTGAAGAGATGATGACTGGAAGAATGTCTTATGAGCCTAGGAATGCATACTTGAGATTGGAAGGTAGAGTTTTAAGCTCAAGAGTTGGTGGAGAGACTAGAGATGGGATTGGTAGAGTGCTAGAAAGTGGAGGAAGAGGTTCTATTGGAGTCTTCCAAGGTGGAAAATCCAAGCTTGCAACAGATTCCATGAGATTGCTTACTTCATTCATTGATTTTTCATCATCAAACCTATAATTTCCATACATTTCAAGAAGATAAGAAGCAAGAGGGTCATCGGATAGGAGAGATGAAAGGTTATCCTCAATTGGTTATTTCATAACCATGGTTGGAACTGACTCTTCGACAACCTCATCCAACATATCTATAAGACAACACTCGTCTTCATCTATGGGATGTCGACTTGCATTGAAAACATTAAGCTTAACTATCATATTTCCAAAAGAAAGTTCCATAACCCCGGATCTACAATTGATGGTTGCATTTGCGGTGGCAAGAAATGGCCTTCCCAAGATGATTGGGATATGGTTGGTAGGATTGGCAACCGGTTCGATGTCAAGAACTACAAAATCAATCGGGAAGTAGAACTTATCAACCTTCATGAGAATGTCTTCAACCATGCCCCTAGGTGTTTTGACGGATCTATCGGCCAATTGAAGCACCACGGAAGTTGGCTTTAACTCATTCAAACCTAGTTGGACATACATAGAGTAAGGAATCAAATTAACATTCGCTCCTAAGTCAAGAAGAGCTCTATGAACTTCATGGTCTTTAATCACACAAGAAATGGTTGGAGCACCTGGATCTTTGAACTTAGGTAGAGTGTTATGCTAAATGATGGAGCTTACTTGCTCTGTGAGAAACACTTTTTTAGGGCTTTGTCCTTTGCTCTTCCTCTTTTGTGTGCAAAGATCTTTCAAAAATTTTGCACAAGGCGGAATTTGCCTAATTACATCCAAAAGAGGAAGATTAATGTTAACTTGTTTAAAAACTTCCAGAAGGTGAAGTCTCTTTTAAAGCATAAGGAAAGGGAGCTTTTGGCTCATAAGACCTTGCAACTAATGGAATTGATGAAGAAGATTGAGGATTCCGATTAGGAACATTTTCATCCAAACAAGTAGGAGTGGGATTGGAAATGGGATGGGTGACAACTTTTGGTTGCTCCGGCTCACTATCTTCCTTTGGTTGTTCAACCCTATTGTCAACTTGTCTACCACTTCTCAAAGTGGTGATGGCTTACACTTATGCCCGGGAAGAACACCCCGATGTAGGGCTTGCTTCCACATAAAATTGGGCTTTGGGGTTTCTCTCGGGTTGACTAGGCAATTTACCCACTTCTCTTGCATTCAATGCATTATCTATGGTCCCAATTTGGGATTCCAGCTTTGATATGGATTGATAATGAGAATGCAACAAGTTGGTGTTCATTTCTAAACTACCTAAAGCTACCAAAACCTTATCTTCGAATGTGGGATTGCTAGAAGGTGCATGAGGATAATGAGAACGAACTTGGAAATCATAAATTTGAGGATGTGAAAGGTGATTCATTCTTTGGTGATGAGAAGAAGAAACAATTCCTTGGGAACCTCCATTCCTCTTATAAGGTAGAATGTATTTGCTTTGAAAATTTTTAGCTTGATAAGAACTTGAGTTTTCATTCCACATTGGAACATATGCACTTGAATAAAGATGAGCAAATGTAGCATTGACTTGTTCAAAATGTGCATCAAACACATGTTTATGGGGACAATTGGAAGTAGTATGTAGAACACTTGAACATGTCATGCAAGGCTCACAAGAATGAGACACAAAATGAAAAGGAGATGATTCGACAACTGGTCCTCGACTCAACAAGAGTTGATCAAGTTTTTTAGAAAGAGTCTTAACCTCGGCTACAATTTCTTTTGATTCCTCAATTTGACACACTTTTGCACTTTTCTCTTTTTCACTAGAACCATGATCAAACCGAGAAGTATAATATTTGTGCAAAAAGTTTTCACTCATTTTCTCAAAAAGGTGCCAAATACCATCTTCATGTTTCCCAAAATATGAACCTCCGCATGATGTATTAACTATATCCTTGTGCATGTTGGATAGGCTCTAATAAAAATATTGGACAACTTGCCATTTTGGAATACCATGATGTGGACATTTTCTTAGCAAGTCATTTAATCTCTCCCAAGCCTCATGGAAGAACTCTCCTTCCCTTTGAGAAAATTCACGAATAGAAGATCGCATAACATTGGTCAAACTCACGGGGCAAAATTTCTTTAAAAATTCATTTTGCATTTGTAACCGAGAAGTTATTGAATTTGCCCCCAAAGTGTTGAACCAATGCTTGGCTTTGTTCTTAAGTGTGAAGGGGAAGAAAAATAGTCTAAGAACTTCTTCCGAAACATTCATATACCTCATGGTGGAGCATATCTCAAGAAATTCATTAAGATATTTATATGGCTCCTCACCATCTAAGCCATAAAAGAGTGGACACATTTGAATAGTCTCGGGCTTGATTTTATATTGATTGGCCTCAAAATTAGGAAGCATGATACAAGTAGGTGCATGGTGTGCATGGAGATTATAATGATCACGAAGGACCATTGGAGGAATTGGAGCTTGAACTCCGGGAGGAAATTGGTGAAAGGGAGGATGTTCTATGAAATTCGGGTCTAAATAATCGAGATGACCCTCTAGGTTTTCCATTGGTTATGATGGGGTTGGTCAAGACCGCATGAAACGCAAGAAATATAACAATGAAGCCAACTAAGCAAACACTTCGCCTTCACAATAAATCAACAATCAACAAACTTCCTCCACATTCAATAATCCCATACTCCCATGCTTAACACAACATGCAAAGAAAAGTAAATTTGCCTCCACGTGGGCTCACGATTTCTCTAAGAATTGAAATACAAGCCTCCACGTGGGCTGACAGTTTAACTAGAGATTGAGTTAGAAAGATCTCACAAAGGTCCTTCACTTCAACTCCAAAATTTTAGCTTTAACTTAGCAATTTTTCATATTTTTAGCAATTTTTTTTCTTTTGCTTGCTTAGCTCCTTTGCTTGGATGCTCCTTTGCTCACCTTCTAGCCCAATGCTCATAGACAAACAAGAACCAACACAATAAGTAACTAAAATGCAAATGAAAATAAAGGAAAGACACGATCAAAAAAGTACTAATTCCTAACTGATTATACAAATACGACGTTGCCAATCAATCAATCCCTGGCAATGGCGCCAAAATTATGATGCCTTCCCGTGATGTGTGCACAAAATAATGCACAACACTTTGAGTTTGGAAATTAGTGTCAACTGGGCATCATAGTTTAAATTTATAAACCGCTTAACACCTATACTATGTAGTATGAGTGAGAAGGGATCGTCTCAAAGGATTATGAAGGTCGTAAAAGGTTGTGGAATCAAGATTAGGGTTAGTAGGTCGAGTGATCAAAGGATTGGTTGGTGGTTGACTTAAGCTAAGATACAATTAAACTACAGTAAACAATAATGCAATAGAGGTAAAATAATAAAGAGAGAAATCTTGGGGTTTAGAGATCCCCACTAAGCATAACTTTTCTACACCCTTAATGAGTGATTAATGAGGGGAAAGGCATGTATTGTAATAATGGTGTGTGTATGTGGTTGTTTCAACAAGCATTGATGACCATTTAAGCATATATTGTCTAGACAACTTAATGAATAGCACAACATATCAAATTAAGCCATTAATTCCTCTTTAAGCTCACAATCCAAACACAACACAAAATTATAGAAATATGTCACTTGCATTCATAAGTATGGAACATCAAATAACAAGCACGGATTGTCCTCCCATTTAACATCTAAACTACCACTACACTACAATTAAGCTTATGACATTAAATTAAACTAAGTAAACTAAGGGAGAGGTACAATCCATCAAGAAATGAGCATGAACCATCAAATAAACCACAAGATCATTCCATTAAGCACTATGTCTTGACAATCTCTAGATCTATAGCAATAATACACATAGACATGCATCAATAACACAAAAAATAGAGACAAACACATGAACATCTATTCTAGCATACATAGACATATGGATAGAATGAAATGATCAATTGGAAGCATTAAACCATACAAATAATTCAATAAATAAGATCTATATATATAAAAAGTGTCAAGACATGTATCACAATACAAATCCCCTCAAGAATATACAAATCAAGATGTAAAAAGCATGCTTAGGGCTAACTCTAGCCCCAAGAGGATGTCTAGCCACTCATGGCTGATGTTTCCCAACCCTCAAGGGCTAACTCCATGGTATAAATCTGCTCGTTGATTGATGAAGAGTCTCCAATGGTGTCTCTAGCCTCCTCCTCTTCTTTGCTTCATCCCTAAGAGTTCTACAAGGTATGATATGATATATTGTAAGAAGTAATCGTTATCCTTATATAGGTAGGTCAAATGACACCCAAAATGAGCTGGGGTCGTACAGCAAATATTCCTCAATGATTGGATAAAGGATAACTTTTTGTGAGCAGGAAATTTAACTTTTCGCACTAGAGGAAGTTCGATCGATCGAACCTTGGACTTGGATCGATCAAACATGGTTGAGATCTATCAAACTTAGGCTAGATTCATCCTCAATGGCAGCGCCTTTTTAGATAAAAACAAATCTTAGATATTTTGAAGATATTTTTGGGAAAAGGACAAAAGTGGTTGGTAGGGTGGTACAGCTGGATAAGATCTGGCATGTGGATAATGACAGAAAAGTTTAATCAATCGAATAATGTTATTGGATCGATCGAAGTTTTGGGATCTCTAGAAATAACATCATGGCCTGGATTTATCTTGAAGAGTTGAGATCGATTGGAGTTCGATCGATCGAACTTTTCTTGAGATCGATCAAAGTTGCTGAAATTCCACCATTGTGCTTCCTTTTGCTCTACTTCGCTCCTTTCTTTGATTCATCCCAGAATTGCTTCATTTCTACTCTTATTTGGCTGAGTTAGCTTATTTTGGGGATAAGTACCTGAAAATGAAAATAACACGAAATCAATCTAAAGCGGGAAAATAAGATAGATAAAGGTCCTAGAACACCCAAGCTTAAGGGGTTTCAGTGCGCACTTTTCAGTGCTCATCACTCTGTCTCTACCCGGAGCATCAATCAATCGACTTGATCCCAAAAGCGTCATCACTATAACTGATCCCTAAGACAACCATCATCATCATCGATCAAAAGGACAATGCCTATCAAAACAAAACCAATATTGATTCCATCTGAACTGCACTTGTAGCTATCCAGTACGGTAGCATGACAGTGTTATGCACCCGCCCACAAACGTACCCGCCCAAGAAAAAGCAGTCCCAGAGGAATCATCCCGATCAACTAAGGATCCGAAGAGGTCCATAACCTCATTATGGCCCAAAACCAACAAATCCAGCACTACGGCAATACCAAATGACTCACCTCACGAGAGCCTAAATAAAAGGTGACTCACCACTTACTTCAAAACCAATGCTAGGTTGACAACAACCTACACTATCACAAAACTGTGACTACAATCACCATCAACCTCAACTCGTGCCTAAATGACCAATCCCGTGTCATGCCAAATATACAATATAGCTATGCATATATAATTTAAATCTAGCATACATTATATGTGATGCTCTTTACATTAGAAAAAAATTATGCGAAACAAACGACATACTACATGTAGCTCGTAAGCACATAAGCATGCTATCAAATCGAAATATGTTATCACGGAGCATGTAAACATATAAAGCATGGCAACATAAGCATGATATGCACAGAAAACCCATCATCCTAAGGTTTTTGAACGTAGGAGCTCTTATACCACTTATGACGGCCCAAGTTTTTCAACCTGGTGCGTCAGTGATGACCCGAAAGCTGACCCGGTAACGGGTCCGGAATGTAGAAGCAAAAGATAAAATAAGGTCTCTAGAGAAATAAGTCACCCCTAAGACACCAATGTAACCTTCCATGTGGTCATGGAACTTAAAGAGAGCAAAAGAGCGAATGAGAGTCAAAACGGGAAAAATTGGTCATTAAAGGGCAAAATGGTCAATTCACAAATAAAAATAGAAAATTGACTCTAAACAAGTCAAAAAAGGTGAATATAACCTAATCATTTCACAACATTCCAAGAGGTTTTAAGAACTTTGGACAAGAATCCCACAAAATGCCCTTTCCCAGTTTAAGCGAAAATAGACACCACCTCACTAAAACATGAATTACACCCACTGTGATTGGAATTTGAGAATAGCATAGGTACCATTGGAAATTGGAATCAAAATCCTTGAGTTTAGGCTCAAGAATTACCCCATTTGGGTTAGAAATGAAGGAGTTATGACCATTTGAAGTTGGGACTTCAGTGCTTAAACACAACAGAGAAGCTGTGCATGTTCAAGCTATTTCAGTCGACCGAAATAGAGTTTTGGTCGACCAAAACTCAAAGAGACTTACTGGAATCTTGATTTTTAAAGTGAGTTTGGTTCGATAGATCGAATTGAACCATTGGTCGACCGAAATAAGCCATCGGTCGACCGAAATGGCCCTAAAAACTAAAAATGGCTACTGAAATTGATGAATTACTGTGCAATGAAGCTACCAAAAGCTATCGGTCAACTGAAATAGAGTCTCGGTTGACTAAAACACCTCAAAAAGCTGTTGTAAGGCCTACTATGAACAAGAATTATTGAGGCTTCACCCAAGCCTCAAACCCCAACATGAAATTGGTCCAAAAACAAAGGTTTTAAGTTATATATGAATGCCAACAAATGTACTTTACAAAATGAAGTGTGTTACAATGACCCATGGCCTCATTACATTTCATTTACAAGATTTCACATGCCAAACCTCAAGGTTAGAAAAATTATATTACAAGGGCAAAACTTAGAACTTAAATGCATACACTTGAACTTTGAAGTTTGTGGCCCTTGGCCTCATGGCATACATATCAATTAGGTTCCAAGTAATGTATCCAAGTACACTTTACATGATATAAAGCAAAGATGACATAATTGAACCTAATTAAGCATTACATCTTTATAAGCAAAACTTAAACATGTTTACACTTGTATGTGAACAAGAATACTTCAAAAGAAGCTTCAAATTTCCAAACCACCCAAGGCAAGTGAAAATCTCCGAAATCTTGAATCCTGTACCTGAACAAAACCCCTAGTAACTTTCGGGTGAGTAAACAAGTTTACTCGTAGGGAATGAGCATGC